TTTTGATAAGTTGCTCATATTCATTATCATCGAATTTCAAATTTTGATAAATGTTTTCTTTTTTATTATTATTTTAAAGAGAATATACGATTAAGATCGTATTATTCTTTTTATCTCAACTTATCTCTTCCAACTTCTCATGCACAACATAAAGAGGCGGTGGAGGCGATTTCGACTCAACCATGGTCTCTCCTGCCCTCCCATCTCCGAAGACCTATGAGATGGAGAGAAGCGTCGCGGCGACGGACAACTCCTCTAGATATCTGCCGATGCTCGCTCCGGACAACGTGTTTTTCCCCTTCTTCTTCTTCCTCGGGACTTCTGCGTAGCCTTTTCTCCGCTGCTCTCTCTCTCTCTCATCTCCGGTGCTCTGTGGAGACGTGAGAGAAGGAGAGAAGTGGCATGGAAATGAGATAGACGGCTTCGGTGCACCATCTCCGGTGATGCTTTTTTCTTGCTCTCTGCTGCATTTAGTTATCGAAGAACCATCTTGTTGCTTGTTTTGAATTGAATGGCCGATGGATGTCAGATAGCAAGCTAATACACGTCGAAGAACTCCTGCACCCTGCAAAGATGCGGAGAGCTCTTTCTTTCGCCATTGTTGCTGCGATCGGTAACTTCCTGCAGGGATGGGATCAGGCCACCTTGTCAGGTAAATGCTTTCTCTGATCTCAAACGCAGCAAAACTTGAATCTATCGATCACACAAACGTTTGTCTCTCTTGGATTACTCGGCGTGCAGGTTCTCTTACTTACATAAGGCAGGAGTTTAGGCTGGAGGACGAGCCTATTATTGACAGTCTAATTAACACCATCCCTCTCATCGGCGCCGCCATCATCACGGTGTTCTCAGGAGCGCTCTCAGATCGGTTTGGCAGACGGCCGATGCTAATTATCTCCTCAGTTTTCTACATCGCTGGTGGCGTTTTGACGATATGGTGTCCCGACGTATACATACTGCTCTTGGCAAGGCTGGTATTCGGGTTTGGGATTGGTTTGGCCGTAGCTTTCGTCCCGGCTTACATAACTGAGGTATCTCCATCGGAGATGAGGGGCTTACTGAGCACCCTTCCACAGTTGACGGGCACGACGGGGACGACTGTGGCGTATGATGTGGATTTCGGGATGTCATTGCAGAGCCAACCTAGTTGGAGATTACTGTTTGGAGGCATCCTATTTCTTTCCATCGTGTACTTCGTTTTCACGGTGTTCTTTCTGCCGGAGGCACCAACATGGCTCGTCAGCAAAGGACGGATGGAGGAGGCCAAACACGCTTTGCAGAGACTACGCGGAAGAGAAGATGTGTCAGGTCTGTTCTGAGATACAACTTACGATTGCTTGACTAATAGCAGCAATCTATCATCGTCAGTGTGTGCTGATCTTTTTGTACCAGGAGAAATGGCTCTTTTGGCTGAAGGTGTGGGAGTTACTGCAACTGAGCTCCCCGTGGAGCAGGAGTCGACTGGTGTGAAGGACATGAACATGCCATATCGTCCAAAGAGAAGAATCGCTTGGGTTAGACGACCAGCAACGGAACGTAGTCTTCTTGGAAGTGTCCTTGATCCTGTTCGGATCAGATGGAAGCGGCGTGCAAGTAATGAGCAAGCCGATGTGGAGAAGAACCCTCCCAGGGAGGGCGAGTCCTATGCCTCTGATGATATGTACACTCCATTGCTCTCAGACCACGGAACAAATGGAGGAGGAGATCCCAAAAGGGTCATTTTGTGCATGGAAGCTGTGTCTGGATCGCAGAAACATTGCGTGCTTGTCATTCCTGAAGGTGATGCCTCAGAAACAGATCAATGTGTCGAAGCCAAAGCATCGGTGAGCCAGCATCCAAGTCGGCCAGCTTTGGTTCCACCCTGCGGCGGACTCAAACATGTATTGTTTCTCTGTATTGGGATGCAAATTCTTCAGCAGGTAAAACAAAACGAGACACATAATCAGGTTTGATTCATCTTCAGTGATCTCTCAGTATATTTGATTCTTTGCTAGTTTTCTGGCATCAACGGCGTCCTTTATTACACTCCACAAATTCTTGAGCAAGCTGGAGTTGGGATTATTCTCTCAAAACTGGGACTCAGCTCTGTTTCAGCATCTCTGCTCATCAGCTCTGTTATATTTACGTTGCAGCTCCCGTGCATACTTGTTGCCATGAGGCTCATGGATGTCAGCGGAAGAAGGTAAGAGGAAGAAGGCGATCTCTCCGTGTTGGTTCTTCATTTGGATTCCAGTTCTCATGTAGGTTTCTGCAGGAGTCTTCTGCTGGGTACGATCCCCCTGCTGATCGCGTCGCTTCTTCTTCTGGTTCTGGTGAACATGGTGGACTTGGGCGCAATCGCACATGCGGCGCTCTCCACCGTCAGCGTGGTGGTGTACATGTGCTGCTTCGTCATGGGGTTCGGACCCATCCCCAGCATCATCTGCTCGGAGATCTTCCCGACGCGCGTCCGCGGGAAGTGCATCGCCGCGTGCTCCGTCACCGCGTGGCTCTGCAGCATCGTCGTCGCCTTCACGCTGCCCCTCATGCAGCGCGCTGTGGGCCTCTCCGGCGTCTGTGGCGCGTACGCCTTCGACTGCCTCGTATCGTTGGGTTTCATCTTCTTCCTCGTTCCTGAAACGAAGGGCGCGGTGATGCCACCTTGAAGTCGTCGTCGTCGTCGTCGTGTCGTCGTCGTCGTTTCGTAGTTGACTCTAGTTTTCGGTCATTATTGTTTCGGCTTTAATTTTTGCAACATTTTATGGGGTTTATTATTATTATTATTATTATTATTATTATTATTATATATATATATATATATATATTTTATTTATTTATTTGCAACCTACTTCATATGTTTTTGCAAGATTTCCTATTTTACACATGGATTATATTTCATGAGACAGCCTAACACCTGTTAAATACTTTTGCTAATAGAACACTTATCATTCGGTGAAACACTGAAAAAGAAACAGAAAATAATGAACAAAGAATGATTGTGGGAAAATTGCAAAATTCATGAAGCTTTTCTCGGAATTTATCATAGCAATTATTTACCGGGTAATCTGTTACAGTAGTTCATCTTTTCCCTGCCATCTACTTAGTAGAATACTATAGTAACCATTCTTGATGATTGCAGGTTCCCATTGGAAGTCATAACCCTCTGTTGAAACTTCGTTTCAGTATCGTAATAGCTACTGTTGAAGAAACAATTTCTGCTTGTGTGGTTGCAGGAATATGCAATTTTCTAATCCTCTTTCTACTTGTGCAAATGGGAAATCCACAAGAATATGGTTTGATGAACATATAAGAATTCATCATGGAAGCCTGAATATTGGGAGTAAACTGCAACAAATCAATAAGCACAAGATGACAGCAATCACCACCAACCCTCACTTTATTGTCATTTTGAGTAGTGTGGCAACAATCAGAGTTCCCATTTATGTTCTTGGAAGGGAGATGAAATGTTGCAGTTTGTTGGTTTGCAGATAAATAAGGATAGAGATCCAACATCCACAAGAAGCAGCACAAACGCCAATAAGCACAGCCAAATTATCTTGGATAAGCAGCAGCATAACTCACATAGCCTGAAAAGTAGGGGGAAAAAAAGTCCGTTGTTAAAAGCAAACAAAATAGAAATTATTAATCAACAAATGGAAACAACAGGAGATCTCGGCCAAAAGGACCGGTCAATAACTTTACGTTTCAAGAGTTTGCCTATGGCTGCATTGGGGCAGCCAAATGTATCAAGAATTTGCCTATAACAGCATCGGGCCACCAAGTCACTAGAAATAAAGATACTGTTCTAGTAATGGTCTTGATGGATGAATCATAAATGACAGCTGTTCAGAAGCAGGATTCATGGATGAGAATTTAACTAGAAAATGTTGAAAGAGTTGTAGCAATCCTCAGGCATTTGCAACTGGGCCGAGAGGTCAACGAGTAACTAGTTCATAACTAGTATCCGATGACTTGTATAAAGGCTTTCATAAAAAAAGCAAGGACAGAGAAAAGAACACCATAACTTTGGAAAAAATATGAATGTTTTTGCCATTTTCTTTTGATCAAACATCCAAAAATCAGAGTTAAAAGTCACTGAAAATTGCATCTTTTTGCTATTTCACCAATATCTCATTAATTATAACTTGCAATAAAATGCTTTGCTAAATAATTGTTTTCCATCTATATATCCAGATGACATGCCATGAACTCATGTTAAAGTCTTTTGTTCCAACTGATGCTGCAAATACATGCAATTACTCCTGCTAATATAGATGACAGGTGGTGTTATGATAAATTAGTTGACTATTACAGTGCTTTCCGGCAGAAAACGCACATGAGCTAGAAGACTCAAACAAAGAGTCAGAAATTTATTTAATGGTAGTATGTTGGAGAGTTTGATAAAAAAAAAAACCAAAAGGTGCCAAACTATTACTCTTAAAAGCATATACTTCCTTGCTTAACTAAACTAATCGTTTTTATTAGCTGGCCTGTTTGAACTCTTCAGCAATTTGCATGCCTAGCTGAAATCTTAAGATTTGAAAACTTCAAAACAGCATATTATCATTAAGTAAATGAACAATGCTGTACGGTGAAAAGGCCCATCACCTTCGGACTGATAAACCAAAGTCCAAAGGACTTATATTTGGTTGAGATAATGCTGCAGAGTCAATCTTAGGTTCAACTGTCAGAGTAGGTTTGAGCCAATAACTTAGGCTCAAAAACAAATGAACCTGGGTTTAGGTTTTTCTATCTTGTAAAACCTCTGTAGAATTTTGATCTACCCACTTATATTGACATGGCGAGTTCTATAATTTCTATATTCTGAATTATTATGAGCCTAATGGATGATCAATAACTATATGAATTTTAAGAGGATGAAGGAATATAGAATTCCTAACCTAATTACAAACTAAGGGTTGGTCGATTGTATTTTTTAAGTGTACCCAGCTGAGGAAAATAGAAATTGTATATGAACTTCTATGACGAAGGTTATAATACCTGTCAAGGCAGGCTAGCCTTACCTGCCTCTCCTTGTCTACTACTTTCGTCTAAAATTCCCTCTTTTCTCCAAGTCTTCTTTAAAATCATTTCAGCATCATGCTCCAAATTCAAATCCTTATTGATATCAACGCTTGATTGTTCTGATGGACAAAAATGAGTGAAACCCTGCTATAGTAGCACAGCTAATCTTTGAGAACAAAAAAATCAGATGAACAGATCAAATTTTAGCATGGTTCTGATCTCTAACCCACTATTTATAATCCAGTTTAAGTATAGATTCATGATAACCATCTTGCACGATGCATACCATCCAGCAGTGAAAATGATACAATTTGTTTAACAGTTCCCTATCGATATTTTTTACTTAAACCACTTTGGTTGAGTTATGTGTACATGAGACTGTTATACTTAAATAACTATTGCTCAAAAACACATCAAACCTATTAAATGGAAAACAAAAACATGTTCCGCATGGTTTCATACTTGAACTAGTTGTATCCCGAATTTGCAGATTCAGAGAAAAACCAACACCCCTCAAAATTCAAATAAATAAACACAGGAAACAGTCAGATGATTTGAGAGTTAGTGATTTCATGGTTTAGTTAAATCAGGACGAATAAAGTCTGATTGGTTGCATCTGGATAATGTGACAGTAGCTTACAATAAACAGGCAACTAAATCATGAGAATGGACAGCAATCTGACAAGTGACAGAACCTCGTAACTAAAACAAAATCAATTGCTACAATTTGTTTGGAAGGAAGCCATAAAGACAAAGAAATAAAAAATGAATTTTACTTCAAGAGAAACATTGAAGATGACAAAAGCTCACTCACGAAGCTCAGCAAACTTTAATTAGTATTATCTTTTCTCTCTTTTTAAGATGTCACTTCTGAGATATCTGGACACTAAAGAGGCCGCTACTCCTTAGAAACAAGATTCTGCATGTGAACCCTAACTTCAAGAAATAAAGCTAAGGTTGGCCAACAAGCATGAAGATCATAGATATTTACACGGTCAAAAGACCAAACAGTGGTATATATGTAGGTTATGTTATTGATAACAAGAAACAGCCTATATATTACTGATGACCAGGAGACATCCCTAGATCATATCACATCTGTAACATACTACATCAGCACATGCAGGAACAGCATAATCTAATTTCCTGCACGAGTTTGCCATGAGGCTTGATACTCGGCTGGATTTATGGTGGTATATGATTAGTTTGTAGCCTTTTTTACTATGAAAATACCAAAACCACAATTAGAATATCTACTCTGTCCGATAATTAAACTACCATGAATCTAACCCTCATCTCTCCACTCAGTCTATCAGGTTCCAGCATAAGATGATCTGAAGCAGGGAGTGCAAACTTAAAGATGTGATCTTGAAACATGGGTTGAATATGATTTAAACATCAGTTAAATGCTGACTTAATGGAATGATGACAAATATGTGGATCACAGAAATAACGAAAAAAGAGTTACCTTTTGCACAGCACTGCTTCCAGTAACCCTTGCTCCAACTCTATCAAGCTTCGCCACCGTCACACTGGCCTTTAGATTGCCATCCCTCAAGAATGCCTCCACCATCCGAGACCCGATCTCTTTTCCTTTCTCCTCATCATCGGTGACTGCTACAGCAGTTGGGCCTGCACCGCTGATGGTGCACCCGAAGGCACCAGAATCAATGGCTGCCTTCTTCACACTCACCATCCCGGGGATCAGAGGCGCTCTCCTTGGCTCCACAATCCAATCGGCGGACATCGCCGACCCAAGAACCCTCACGTTCCCTTGCAGCACGGCCGCCACCAGTGCAGCGGCTTGGCTCGAGTTCCGCACATGGTCCTTCATCGGGATATCCGCCGGGAGAGCTTCCCTCATCTTCTTGGTCGGCGCCTCGAACTCGGGACCCACGAGAACGAAGTAGAGCTCCCGGTCGGCCGGGAACTCCAGGCGGATGATCTCGAAGGGATCGTAGCTTCGGATCAAGACGAAGCCTCCCAAGATGGAGGGCCCAACGTTGTCGGCGTGGTAGCCGCTGACCTTCTTCTCGGACTCGAGCCCGGCGAGGACGAGTTCGTCGGGGGAGAGACGACCGCCGAAGAGCTCGCTGACGGCGAGCGCCGCCGCCGCGGCAGAGGCGGCGCTGGACCCGAGACCGCTGCCCAGGGGGAGACCCTTGTGGAGGGAGAGGGAGAGGCCGACAGAGCGTACGCCGAGCATGCGCATGGCGGCGATGCCGGCGATGCCAGCACAGTTCCAGAGAGGGTTTCGGCTGAGCTTCGCGGCGGCGGCGCAGCCGGAAACGTCGGCGATAGAGAGGGTGCCTGGGGCGACGGCGGAGTCGACGGAGACGGTGACGGTGTCGCCGAGGCCGCCGCCAACGGCGCACCCGAGGAAGTCGAAGCCAGGGCCGAGGTTGGCTACAGTGGCGGGCGCGAAGGCAGCGACAGACCGAAACACCGGGGAGGGGTCAGCGGTGGCGGCAGCGGTGACGGCCGGGACTTTAGAAACAGAGGAGCATCGGATAGCCCGCAGGCGGGTAAGGGAGGGAAGGGGACGGTGGCGATGGGCGGGTCGCGATTGGGTTGGGGACGTGGCGCTGAAGGCGGCCGTCGCCATTACTGCTTACAGAGGGTGGTGAGGGTTGGGGCGAATAGGGCGTGGGTGCGCGTAGGGTTTAGGACCGATAAAGCTCCTTCTTTTCTCCTAGTGATGGCTTAGAAGGAACCCAACACAAACACAACAAAAACAATAAGACTATAATTTAGACTCAATTTGTAGTATTTTAATATAAATAATTTTGTCGATTCGATTACTTTTATTTTCTTAGCCTTTTTTTCTTTTAACTTTTCTTACGTTTTTAAGATTGTAAATTTCAAAATAAGGTATTTCAGTTTAGTTGATAAAGATTTTGATAGAATATTATAAAATTTTGACTCAAAAATATTATATATGTATATACTATTAATTATTTTGAATTAGAAAAGATCTCTCCTTCAATTTATATTTTTTGATAAATTAGACTTATTTAATATTAAATATATTAAATTTAAATAATATTAATTATATTAATTATATTAATAATTATTATTTCTAATTATTAGGTTGATATATTAATATAATGACTTATTATTATGGTTGATATATTAATATAATTAATATATATATATATTTATATTATATTTATTATACTAACTATCTAATAATATTTTAATATTTGTAAATCTAATAATATGTTGATAAAATTTATATCTATCTATATTCTCCTGTATTTGATGTAACAGTTATATTTATATTTACAATTTTTTTTATTGAGAGGAATTTGGATTTCCCAACAATTTATTCCAATAGGAATCAAATGAGGTGCAGACTTGTATATATATATATTATTGTGGCAATGAATACATAACGGCAGGAGGACAGCTTCAGACTCTTAGAACAGCAATCAAGGCAGCATCAGATGGCAGCTTACCCACCCACTTATTACATCACATACCAACATAGCACTCAATGTGGCTCATTTTATGCACTCAGGAATTTTCATAGCCACCCTTTATTTTAGTTATTTATCAGTATCATATATGTATTATTTTCCTTTGTGATGATGGCCTTTAGGCCACTGCAGCTTCCTTCTTCTGCTTCATCAGCTCCTTCTTCTTCTTCTTCTTCTTCTGTTTCTCAGACTGCATAAAAAGCAGAAGAACACCCTTTCAGTCTTGTGTGATACATGCAGCACCACACTGATGAATTCAATATCACGAAACACAGGTGTGAAGGATTTTGTAGTGTGTGCGACATCACCTGGTGCCAGGGACGGGGTCCGCCGACGGAGGAGGAGGAGGAGGAGTCTGAGATCTTGTGCTTGCGATGCTTCTTCGCCACCTCCTTCTTGACCATGCCAATTTTCTTCTGCTTCAGATTCCTGTTCTTTTGCTTCTCTGCTTTCAGTTGAGGGACCTCACCTCCCTTGAAGGCAGAGCAAAAGAAGAAGGCATTGCTTGTCAGAGATCGCTCGAGTACGAGTAGGTTTGTGAGAATTCCTTCACCTGTCAATCTTACCTTGCTGCAGCTGGAGTGACTAGATTTAGAGTCAGATGAGCTGGAGCTTGAGCTTGAGCTTGAACTTGATCTCAAACTCCTCCTCTGCTTGACAATTCCCGAATTCTTCTTCTTGTGCTTCCTTCCTTTTAATTTTCTTACCGATCCAGAATCAATTCCCTTGAAGACAGCACAGAATTGTGTGAGAGAGAGAGAGAGAGAGAGAGTGTGTGTGTGTGTCTGTGTGCGCGCGGAGTCACAGCCATCTTTATGTATCAATCTTACCTCGCTATTGCTGGAGTCAGATGAACTTGAGCTTGAGCTTGAACTTGAGCTTGAGCTTGAACTTGAGCTTGAGCTTGAGCTTGAGCTTGAACTTGAGCTTGAGCTTTTACTGAGCTTTCCAACTGCCAATTTCTTCTTCTTTTGCTTGCTTCCTTTTGATTTCTTCTTTTCAGGGTACTCTTTATCAAAATCATCTCCCTTCTAGACAACACAATGCGATTATTTGTGGATTACTACATTCCAGTACGTGCACTGCACTTGATCGAAGCTTGAGAGAGGCAAAGGAGTTGCAAGTCACCTTGTTGCGTCTGGAGAGACCAGATGTGGAGTCAGAGCTGCTGGAGTCGGAATCGGAGCTCGAGTCGGATGAATCAGAGCTGGAGGAACTCTTCCTGAGCTTGCGGATAGCCAAGCCCAGAGACGTTGCCATCTTGGTTTTCTTCTTCTTCTTCTTCTTCTGTTTCTCTGACAAGGCTTTCCTGATCGCCGTCTTTATTCCCTTCACCTCCTTCTTGAGCCTGTCGATCTTCTTCTTCAGAGCGTCCACCTGCTTCTTGTTCTTCTCCGATCCGCCGGTTGACTGCGCAAGAGAGGAGAGCAGATGAGTTAGCTGCGAAAGATGACAGTGCTGCAAGCGATTCGAACCGAACTTTATTGAGTGGAGTGTCCTTGTTCTTGGAAGCTTCCCCTGCGTCGGTGACCTGCAAGCTGCCTCCCTCGTTCACCACGTCGATCGCCTCCTCCTCGTGGCTGGCGACGATGCTGAGGCTCTCCTTCTGCTGCTGCTCTTCCGCCATGGTTGTGCTGTGCTTGATGTGTTGCTGGAACTCGGGATGCATGCTGTGATCCAGCCATGGCCACTTCTTATAGGTGGTTGGGATCTTGGATTCGGCGAAAGGTGAGCTTGCATGAGGAAGGTGCCGGCAATGGATGGATCAATCATGAAGAGAAGGGACAAAGTGCAGAGAGAATGATCATGGAGGACGAGGACAGAGGAGGAAGCAGGCGAGAGGCCGCGCTGGCGTTGGATGCCATGCCCACCAAGGGCAAAAGATGCCACGGTTGGAGAAGAAAGATCATACGTTCATGCCATGACCAAGGAAGGCGTAAATGTTTTGTTTATTTAAGGTTAAAGGTACAATCAAACGTGGTCAAAATTTAATTGATCAGTCCATCTCTTTCTTATCGGTCCGAGAGCTTTAACCAAATAAGCTATACTTAAGTGTTTCAAACAGGAGAGCTTAAAGTAATTGGATAATATTTTATTTATATTTTATAATCTTTTATAATTAGATAAAATATATATAATTTATATTTGGATAAGATATATATAATATAACTAATTGAATTCCGATGAAATATATTGGTCAATAGAAAAGAAATCCACTTAAAATAGGATGAGAGGAACTTCCATAATTATTTATCCTAATCTTAGGACTTATTGAACAACAAGTAGAAATAATATCATTTTGATACTATTGATAAGTTATTATTTATCTATATTGAGCTCATGAACAATTATCTTCTTTGGAAAGAGAGAGAGGAACCCTTAAAAATGTTGAGAAAGATTACTTCATCTACTTAAATCTCAATCGATATAATAAAAACTATATATATATATATATATATATATATATATATATATATATATATATATATATATATATATATATATATATATATATATATATATATATATATATATAT